TCATTATATGTGAAACAATCAACAAAAGTAATTTATTTTATATATAATTTTTAAAAAATCAATTTAAAGTTTGATTTCAAAGCAAACTAACACTATTTGTTGTTATTTTTCAGGGTTGAGTAAGTTAACTTTTTTTTTAACTAAATTAAGTCAAAGACAAACAGTTTGAAAATTTAATTTAATTAAAATACAAGTTAATCCATCATAAAATTAATTAAATTAAAAGTTAAGTTAATAAAAAAAGTAATTAAAAAGTTAAAAATTAAATATTTGATTCGAATGAATAACAAAAAAAAAAGAAAAAGTTTGACTGTACATAATTTCACGTATTTTTCCTTTCTTACAGTTTATTTATTTAATCTGGTTATTTTTGTTCACAAGTAACGATTATACAATATAAAATTACTAAATATATTATATACTCATTAGCCTCTCGCATTACATATAAGGATTAACTTCAAAAAAATTAAATTAAAAGTTAATAATTACCGATAAAATGTAACTAAATTAAGTTAAAAAGTTAAGAGTCTAAATTAAAATTAATTAACTTTCTAATTTTTTAACTTAACTTTTATCTTTTTAACTTAGCACTACCCAACCTTATTATTTTTATATATAATTTTATTAAAATGATGTGTTTAATATTATATTGATTGTTCAAATGATAACAATAATATCAGCTTACTACTTGAGATATATAATATAGTGATACCTAAAATTAAATGGCATACAGAATATCACAAATATATAAGTTAATTTTTAAACTAACGAATATAATTGAAGGAACTTTTTAAATTAAAAGTTCCTTCAATTATATTCGTCTTTAATTTCAGGCAAATACTACAGCATATACATATATTTAATAAAGTATCATATTATATATATATGAGATATTAAAATTCGTTAGTTTTAAAATAAATTCATTAGAACTTTACTAAAATAAAAATAATTATTTTATACTTATTTTATATATATTAAAAAGAAGCAATTTACACATAATTGCAATATATTTACAATGTCTATGAATTATTTATGTATTTGTTACAAAGGCAATTGCAATTGAAATCAATATCATTTAATAATATTTTTAAGAAAAGCAATAGAAAATAAAACGATCGCAATATTTCTACTTTCTACATCAACGTATATAAGTAAAAATAAAAGCATATCTATCAGTCATCTATAAGTTTCAATAAATAATGGAATAATAAATTGTGCAATGGTATATGTAAGCTATAATTACTTTAATATTTCTGAGCACTTTAAATGAAATTGCATTTACTATTGTTACCATTCGGTTCAATTTATACCGACTGATCAACAAAAGTAATACAGTTTGAAATAAAAACTATATGCGCAATGACCAAAAGTATTCGTACAATTTTAACTCCACTTTTAATAATGAGCTACGTATTTGGGTTAAGAATTGTCATATCTAATCATTCAAAATTATGGTTTAATGCCATATATATACTATTGATTTGGTCAATTTACTGTTTCCTCGTGTCAACACATCATATATTTAATTTCTTTAACGAATATCTCGAAGACAATATTTGTTATTATCTAGAATTCTTTACGACATTATTATCAATCGCGATTGGAGTATACCATAACAAGGTAACAAATTGCCATAATATTTGTAATATTATTGATAAAAAGTAATTAATAAAAAGTAATAATTATTATAATAGACATAATTATTAAAAATAAATATATTCTTATCATTCTGTAGCAATAAAAATTTTACTGCTAACAAAAATGAGTAGCAAAGTCATTGCTTTAAGTACGGATTTTCACTTTGAAGTTAATCTATCTGTTCTTATATAAAGGAGTGGACTATTTCATTCGATTAATCAAAATAGTGTAAGCATTAGTTGATAATGCATTATAAGATGCATTGAATGTTACTGCAAGGAGTGAATTTAGCAATACAGCGCATCGTATGTTGGTCGTTACGGGCGAGATGCATCTTGAGACACATATAACACATAAAAGACAAAATAAAATAATTAACAATAAAATAATAATAATAATAATTAAAAATAAAGTTAATAGGTTAATCGATTGATAGCATACTCTGTTCAAAATCTGTCTCCGTATGTTTTGTTATTTGGATTTAGAATGATATTATTCTGTCATTATTTTAACCTCTAAATTCACTTCTTTTTGGAATAAATTTTTTACTTTAATTATCGATGGATTTTTCATTTTGTAGTAAAATTCACTGGCAGTAACATTGGCGCAATTGTCATTAAAGCTTGCATTGAAATTTCAATTTAATACAGTGAAATTTTATTGCTACAGATTTAGAGTGATCTATTTACACAATTAAATAGACAAAATATGTAAAGAATGGAAGGAATTATTGCAACTGTCATTGTTAATAATTTAATTACCTTGTTGTAATACCAATTTAGTAATAAAATTGTGAATTTCTTACAATTTCTGACAATTATGTAATATTAGAGTTAATATTAAAATAGTCAATAATTACTTATAACTGAAAAAGTCATTCGTTACTGAAAAAACCCACAATTTTTAACATATTACTTTTTAATGTAATTTGTAATAGAGTAACTTTACGGCGTTACTCATTACTTATTAGTTTTTTCAATAAGTAACGCGTTATGGTGATAATTTACTTTTCAAAGTGACTTTCTTAACTTTAGCGTAACCTCAGCCTTTAATCATAATTACACAATCATAAAAAATTGCAACATCATTATCAAATTTAGTTATTATACAAAATAACTAAAAAGTAACTCTTCCCTGAAAAAATATATACGAAGATTATAATGTATAGTACATTAAATTTTACATTTGTTTGATAATAAAAACTATGGTAAATATTCCGATTAGAGAAACCAGTCCAAAATACATGGATCTTAAAATATGTACATATTAATATACTTATATATTATGAAAACACGGAACTTTACTTTAATTATAAGATTCTTTATAAGAACTTTATAATCATAATCATAATTTGTTATAATATATAATTTATAATTTCTATTTATGTCAAACTTACAGGAAATATATTCAAATTGTATCGCCAAAAGTTAGCAATCAATAATAGTTATATTTTTTTATGTGATACTTTTGTAAAAGTTTTTATCAAAAATTGCCAAGTTTGGCTCTTAATTTTTTTCTGAATATTTTATATTACAAGTCTCACGCCTTACAGTTTCACGATCATTATTTTTAATCTTTATAATTAAGCAAATCATTATATCTCATATTTTCTTATTATTAATATGCTTTTACTTTGTCATTGCATGCAGAATTTATTGCCAAATATTTTTTTATTGAATGAAAAGATTTAGAAACATATCTCAAAAATTAAATAATGCAATTTCACAAATCTTTTTTCACGACCATATGTAATAATATGAATTTTCTATTAAATAAATTTTACTTCAAGAGTAATAAATTCATGACGGATACAATCACATATACTTAGTTTAGCAGAAACTCTGTTGTGTTAATTAATAGTCTATGTCATAACAAACAACTTTATAAACATCGTTTTGTTCTATATAAGAAAAGGAGAAAGTGAGATAGGCATTGTCTATTCAAAACATCGGAATCATTGTGAATGTAGTAAATTCCACCCTTCTGCAGAAGAAGCATCAATAATAAAAATCTAGACACATAGATTTGAATTGAACATCGCTTCAGAAAACTGTAAACCTATATGGAAGCATGCTTGCATTTACAACTTTCCACATGAAGTGAGATTCATCTCGAACTTACGTTTTTCGGTAGTAGAGCATTCGTCCAGAGGAAGTGGCTGAATCCTTACCTCGATGCATATAATTTTCAATAAGAAGCAGAAAATATTACATGGCCTACATTCTTAGGTTCTAAGATCGGAACGAAGATCCACATTTCGACTTTTCATATAAAGTGATGTCCACCTCATCTTTCTCCAATAGTTGCATCCCTCCCCCACCAATGAATTCACTAAGCTATGTAAATTTCTAATAACTCGATATGTATACAAAGTAAAATTTATATATATCAAGTTAGATATAAATCAAGTTAGATACAGATATTTACATTATAAACAATATTTGTTAATAATTTTTTAACGAATAATGATGGTGAAAATCTTCCAAAGAACTCATGATCTTGATGATATATTAAGATGACTGAATTCTCTAACCGAAATATTTACTATAATATTTATTTCTGTATTTCATATTTTATTTTCGCGACAGAAATTCCAAAATTGTTTGAAAAGATTTGATATTATTGACAACACGTTGCTTAAGTTAGGAGCAATGACAGATTATGAGAAGTTACGCAGAAAAGTAATGTGGTATGCCTTAGGATGGATCGTAACAGTCATACTAATAATATACTCCACAACTTTATTATTAAAAAATCAATATAACAGTGACATTGCATCAGCTATATATTGCTGTCTACGAGATTATTGTTTTCATATTAATCTTTTGGGTGATTTGATTAATGCAAGCATTCTCGAGTTAGTACATTTTTTACGTACACTTACAATTATATCATTATTTACAATTATATTATTACTGTGGTACAGTTATTTACAATAAATATATAAAACTAAACAGTAAAAGAACATATCACAACTTCTCAGATGAAAATTTTAGAAATACTAATTTCCATCTACTTTTGTTTATATTCAGATATACAGGATTAAAGTTTGATCAAATCAATGAACATATTAGGAATTTGATGAAAACTCAAAAACACGAAACAAAGCAGGCTTGGGAAAATAACAGGATATATCCTCATCAAGACAAATTTTCGAAACCATTAAGCAGCAAATGCATAACGTGGATCACTATGTAAGAAATTTTATGTAAATTCTATCAATGGCAGTAACATTTTAGAAAAAATGTAACATTTATAAATAATATAAAATAAAACCTAATTGATGAATATCCATATCCAGACACCTTTACTTAGAGTTGCGCAAAATATCCCGTGAAATAGATTCAATATTTGGAACTCAAATGACTTTCAAAATGGCATGCTATTTTGGATGGATAGCACGTGACTTGCGCGAAATTTTGTACTCAATACTTATCAACAATTATGTAAAATCTAAAATAATGACTGTGATTGTTAACACGTTCTGCTTGTCTAACAATATTTTTAAATTTTTGCTGTATAATTATATGTGTGAAACAGTTACCTCCAAGGTAAGTCAAAGTTACATTAAATTTCAAAAAAGGTTGGTTTAACATTTATTTACAATATAATCGAATTCAAGGATTACTATTGACGTATAATTATAAAATTAAATTATAAATTTCTTTAATTACATTCTTTAATAATTACATTCACCATATTACAATTTCAGGCAAATGCAATAGCAAATTTATTAAACAGATTATCATATGTCACTTATGATGTTGAAATTCGCGAAATCGTAAGTTTTAAAATAAATTCATTAAAATTATTATTAAAGTAAATATAAAAATCAAATATTCATTAAAGTAATATATTTTTTATATAGATTTCACAATTTTCATTACGAATAATTCATGCTCCACTTAGATTCTATGGAATTGGATTCTTCCAATTTGGTTTTAAATTTCTTTACAGGGTATGCTATATTTATCATATAATTGCGTATTACAAATTCGTGATAAATATTTAAAAAAGAATTTATAAGTTGTCTTTAATTTTAGTTGATCACACTTGTTGCGACTCTTCTAATTGTAATACTACAAACACAAATAAATAAAAAAAAATTTATATGAGACTATTGCAAAGTTTGTAAAAGGTTTAATGGTAATCTATATACATATGTACAACATAATGTGATTTACAAAATGCGTTATGTTTGTACAATATCTCTTCTCTGGATTTGATTCAATATCTTTATATAAGCTTTGAAAGAGAAAATTAATATTTAAAAAAGAATAACTAAAAATGTTATATGTAATAAAAAAAGATTAATAAAAAAATATTATTTACTTATTATTTTGTCCATTTTGTGTTTACAATATTTTTAATAAAAACGGGAGTAATTTTCTGTTTTTTAAGCAATGTAAGCAATCAACTGAAGTATTTTTATACTCCAACTAATCACTATTATTAACATATTGTATACTATTAATTGTTTTCGAATTCATATTTGAAAACATTATGAATGTGAATTTGATCACTTTTTCTGAATAATATAAATAAAGAAACAATATAAAATGAAATAAATATTAAATAGTTTATTACGCCATTGTCTTTGTTGTCGGCTACATAACTATGCCTAATTATCGATGTCTGAACTCTCAGCAATGAAGAGTATTGTTTATAAACATATAAGCGTTATACGTCGTTCAATAAACCGTAGTCGTAATAGCATACATATGCAGCGGATTTTTAAACTCGATTTTTTCGAAAACTAAGCAAAAAATCGAAAAATTTTATTCTATATATTTTTCTATATATTTTTTTACATTTTTATGAAGAATCATATCCTGTCCGATTTTACATGTTATTCAGCCGAATCTTATGTATATGAAGAATTAAGATTTTTATTAATATCATTATATTAGTATAATTTTATTACAGGTTTTAAATCGTTAGAATTGCATATCTAAGAAAGAAAAATATATTAAACAATATCCATACAAAATAATATTTTGTTATAATTTACATTTTTTACGCCACTGGAGTAAAAACACCATATGACTACACTCGCATTAAGAAATTTATAATATATTAATTATATATAGATTTCATAGTTCATTTCATTAAAAAATAATTAAAAAATTATACATCACTAAAATTCTGCGAAATAGCATTTTTTCAATTTGGTATCAAATTTTTTAACAAAATACATATTATATATTTATGGTATAATTATATATTACAAAGTTAAAATTCTGTTAGAGTATTTAGTTAAGCTCCTGACAAATATTAAAAAAAGAACTTTCATATTTTCATTTTTAATTTATGATATTTATTGTCATCGATTTAGATACAGTAATACACGCACAAACAAATGAGTAAACATTTTTATCAAACTACAATAAAGTTCAAAAATCTAATCTGACAATAATTTATAATATTCAAATATAATATAATATTCATTTATAATATTCAAAATATTATACGATTTTATTGTTTCTATATTAAAACTAACAAAAAAAGTAAAAAAGAAAAAAAATTATTAAATTTTTATTATTATTAAATATAGATAATAATAAATACCATTTTATGCATTAAATATAAAAGTTTTATTATGTTTTTACATAGATTATTATCTGCTTATAAATCTCTTATTACAAACACTGACTATAAAATTCTGGCAGTTTGCGGGGAAATTGGCAGCAAATTCGATCAAATTTCCATTATAAAATCATAGTCATTTATGTCCACATTTGAGGACACAATTTTATGGATCTATCGACAAAACCTGCTGTCATGTTATACTATCAGAATGATAAAAATTAAACAGGGTCCACACGTACTGGGAATCTGATGGCAAACTAGCAACAGAAACTGAACAAAAGTTGCAAAATTTTCCTCGATTTCTGCAGCCAATCTGCTGACAAAACAGGTCAACAGGCTTTATCCTATTTTTAATAGCAGTTTACTAACATTGGTAAATAGTACAAACTTTATGTGCAATTTACTGCTTTTCTGCAATAAAAAGATATCAAGCTCTACTCAAAATCTGTCTTCGCAAACTTTGCTAGGAACATCATTACATATATTACGTTTGTATACATAATATACAGAGTGTTTCCTCTAATTTGACCAAAATTTGATCATTAAAATGTTTCCATTTTAATGATATGAGAAAATACAAGGAAAATTCGATTAGAAAAGATACATATTATGTGTGCAAAAAATTTTTTTCAAGATCATAGTTTTTGATATTTCAAGGTTATCGTAATTTTTTTTAATGAAATAATATATTTTTATTTATGTAGTAATGTAATTCATAAAAAAACAAAGTCAATCATACATGATATGTTGTTCTTGACCTTGGATATTAAAAAATCACATTTATATGGGAAAAAAAAATTAACATACTTAAGTGTTTTTTAATAATATTCGTTTACTTTATAAGTTTAGTTTATAAGATGTTCAAAATGATTCCCATTTGCTTCCATACATTTTCAAATGCAATAAATAAATGACTGTTTCGCACTTTTAATGATTTCCAGGCGATGTCGATATATGCATATCGAATTCTTCTTTGCATGTTTTCCGTTATGGAAATATTACAGTAAACTTGACTTTTTAAATATCCTCATAGAAAATAGTCAAGTGGCGTAAGGTTTGAACGAGCTGGCCAACGAATTCTTGCACCACGCCCAATCCAGCAATCGAGAAACATTTTGTTAAGGACATTTTCCAAAAAAATCCATTTTCTTTAGATTTTTCTGAAACTTACAGAATAAGCTTGTTTCTGAATATGTGCTTTAAAACTCAATAACCGGAGCGGGATTAAAAATCGAAATATTCCACTTTAAAGTTGAAGCGTTTAAAAAAAAAAAATACACACACACACACACACACACACACACACACACACACACAAGATCTCTATCTAAAATTTATTCGAAAGTGATCTTTTTATTCACTGTAAAAAAGTTTTTTTTAACAATTTTTTGAAACAATGAGATATAAAACTTGATATCACAAAGAATAATATGAAATTTGTCTGAATATGGCTTCCGATATTCGGTTTTAAGAAATCATTAAGCAAAGTACATAAACACAGTAAGTAAAGTCGCTATTTCTTCGATCGACGGCAGTAGCGAAGACGGGAAGCATTTTATATTGTATAAAAAAACTTGTATAAACACATTAACACTTATGGAATATCTTATATTATCTTATATTATATAAAAATGAAATAAATTTTCATAAAAATTTTTAAAAATAAGCACTAATGTGCTCATTAGGTTGAGCACAACTGCAGTTGGAGAACATCCTTAAGCATAATGCGGGCGATAAGTGCATTAAGTGCCAAAGAATCACCTGGAATTACATTCTAAACGTGGTTCAATTCAATTCTAACAATATTTGTAATTAATTTCTTTAAAAATTTGCATATTTTTATCCATTTAAATTTCCTTTAAAAAATGGACTAACAACGTAATTTCTATTAACATTTTACATTCCATAGATGTTGATGTTGTACCTGTACTCGAAGCCAACGTGGATTGTCAATGGTCTAATAATACATATTGTATTTATTTAACTATTTATTTAACTGACTTGTGAAAGATGACTTGTTTGTAAATAATACATAATAAGAATTGTTGATTAATTTCTACTGTTGTAGGACTCCTTCGCAGAATCTCTATTTTGAAAATCGTTACCACAAAGAGATTGATGTAAGCATATGTGATAAGCATGAAAATAATGGCGTTTTAAATTTTCCAAACACTTTTAGTAGCCAAATCACATTGAGAAGTGATTGGTCAACTTATATGTGAATTGTTAGCTACTGCTAAAACAAAGATTCCCGATTTTTCAGATTTTGTCTTCTTTCAGACTTTGTTTTCTCTCAGTTTGATTGATACTGCCTATTTTACAAAATGACTTAACCGACTTATTTCGAATGTACGTCTGGATGTACAACTGGATGATTAGGATATTTTTCTGCTTATCTAATTATCGTAGCTCGTACTGAGTTTCGGCCTAATTCTCCATAAATTAAAATCATTTCTGTTTCCTCTTTTTGAGTATACATTTTAATGCAATGTTAAGACTACATTAAATGACTTTAAGTATCTCTGGCGGTTCATGTTCCTAGATGTAAACATACTGTGAATTAGGCACTACAATTTTATGCGAACTAGCACAAGTAATCATCCGCGACGTAAAGACGAAAATCTTTGTTTTAACAAAGTAACAAACAATCCACATATTAGTTGTCGGCAAATGATTTCAGCATGATTGTCATTTTGAACATATACTAAAATAAATAAACATCTTCATTGAAAAAACTTAAGTATGTTAATTTTTCTTTTTCTCACATAAATGTGATTTTTTTTTATGTCCAAGATCATCTGAAAGATAACATATTATATATGATTGAATTTCTTTTTTTAATGAACTATATATTATTATATTAATGAAAATATACTATTTTATTTAAATATACTATTTCATTTAAAAAATCGCGATAATTTTCAAACAGAATTAGTAAAAAATATGTTCTAAACGTGTTTTAAACGGTTTAAAACATATTTAATTTGATGTTTTTAATATGTTTTAAATATATTTTTTTATAATATTGTTTAAAAACATATTAAGAAGAAACACAATGTTTTATTCTCAAAAAAAAACATTATCAAACCTGCTTTAAAATCTTAAAAACTATAACCTTGAGAACAATTTTTTGCTTATCATAATATGTATTCCTCCCAATCAAATAACTTTTTCCTGTAGTATTTTCCCGTATCATCCAACGGAGATATTTTAAATGGGCAAGTTAGACGAAATATAGAGGAATTCACACATAATTGCAGTATATTTATAATATTTGTATATTAATCATGTATTTATTACAATTGCAATTAAAATGACACTGTTAAATGAACTGTTTAATGACACTTTTAAATGTGTATTACAAAGACGAGAAAATAAAAAATGAAACTATCAGAATATTCATAATATTTATGTACCTATGTATATGAACAAAAATAAAAGTAGACCCATCATCCATCCATAAGTTTCAATAAATAATGGGGCATAAATATAGGCTATAATTACTTTAATATTTTTAAGTGCTTTA